ATTTTGGCATATAGCATCTATGGGTGAAGGGGAGTAAAAATTGAGAAATTCATGCCCCCCACTCCTGGGGCCTGAGAGTCGGGCTAAAACCATCAAAATTAATGCACTTTTTAAAAATCTTGTCCTTTACTCCTGGACATCAATCAGTCAAACTGTTGGCATGATTGTAATAAGCATTGAGCCCTCTACCAAAATTGTGAAATTCATGGCCCCAGGGACAGGGGTTCTGGCAATAGGGTGGGGCTCTAATGATTATATTGTGAAAATGCATTAATTCTTTGAAAATCTTCTCCTCTGCTCCTGGGTATAAAGCCGATGAACCAAGTACATAGTTATGATGAGAAAGAGTGCCTCTTCCAAAATTGTGAATTTCATGGCCTCTGGGTCAGGGGTTCTGGTGTTAGGGTGGGGCCCTAATGATTATATAGTGAAAATGCATTAATTCCTTGAAAATTTTCTCCTCTGCTCCTCATTAAGCCGATGAACTAAGTACAAACAAACTAAATACATAGTTATGATGAGAAAGGGTGCCTCTTCCAAAATTGTGAAATTCATGGCCCCTGGGTCAGGGGTTCTTGTCAAATCTACATGTCCTACCATTGTGCTTGAGTGGGGCTCTATTGATTAATTAGCAAAAATGCCTTAATGCTTTGAAAATTTTCTCCTCTGCCCCTGAGTACTAAGCAAACAAACTAAATACAATAATATCAAAGTAAATGTATTAAATATAATTACCTCTGCCCCTGAGTACTAAGCAAACAAACTAAAAACAAATATGCCTTTTCTTTACTCCCGGGTATCTAGGAGGCAAACAGAGTATACATTTGTAATATGTGAAGCAAGAGTTACTCCTCTTTGATAGATGTTGTTCATCAAGAAATCCTTGTGTATAATTAAATTTACAGGTTATTTGATGGAATGAAAATATAAGAAAGTATGTTATATTTATAGAAACAAAATAACAATGAATGAATGGTTTAAATGAACAAAGCATGCTCAAAGTAATATTTTTGCCTGGAAAGCAGTGCAAAAGATTGACATAAAGATTATTTATATATTTAGCAAATGTTGTAGTTGCACAGAGTATGTTTACAGTGTTTTGATCTGTTTGACAGTAGATGAGTTATTGTCACTGGTAGAGTCATGGTTGACAAGAGACGGGATATTAAAGTTGATTTATACTTTATCAAAGTGAACAAAGAATCACAGAGTGCCAGGTTGACTTATTGCAAGTGGCAAATAGCCATGTTGTATACCCAAATCTGTGTGTACTGAATTGTAGCATTAGGCAAGTGACAAAAATAGGCAAGTTTCCATTGTATTTGTATATTTTGAATTCATTATCATCCCTGTAAGACTTGGGAAAACCAAGTATGATCCCAAGGAGATCACTTGGGTATAGCATGTTGCAGTAAGCAAGAGTAATTATTTTTCGTAAACGTCACTTCCGAGATAATGTGAATAGTACTGCGCAGCCGCCAAGTCATTGAACTGCAAGTAGCCGGAGCGAGTAGACGTGGTCTTACTTGCTCGATCATTTTTGATATATTTTTACATATTGACGAGGTCAATATACTCTTAGAACTTTTTCAGAGTTCATTATCGTTTCTGACGTGGTCAGATCAGTTTTCGGGGGCGATTTTGTCTGACGTGGTCAGATATTTTTTCATGAATTCTGGATGTTTCGGGACCCCGACGTTTCGGGACCTGACAACACGTTTCGGGACTTGGGTTAACACGTTTCGGGACTTGGGCTAACACGTTTCGGGACTTCTAAATATTTTGTAAAGGAAATGAAATAAAACTTGTTTACTTGTGTTTTTATGTTTATACATGTATAATTTCTCAGTTTGATACACAATTTATAATTTAAGAAGCACTGATTGGAGTTTTTATTAGTTTTAAAGTTTGCCTGCGGCATGGAGCACGCATGCCGAGAAAATCAAACGCCCGCGGTGTTGTCTCTTTAATTTCTTATTACAGTATTTGATATATTACCTTTATAAAGTATTTGGTTAACACTTGACCAAAATTTAATTCAATTTTTTTTTTTAAAATATGTATTTGATTTATTTATAGTGTTTGATACGAGAGTTTGTAGAATTAAAGTCGGGAGACAATCGTAACTGCTGTGTGAAGACCACGGACGTGTTTTTTTTTTCTAAGACTTTCCTTATCTCCTTTTTAATAATAATTTTGGGTATTTGATTTCATATTTGTTTACAAAATTTACAAAGGCTCAAGCTAGCACATGTGCAGTAAAAACTTTACGTTTTACGGGTAGTTGTTTTGAATCAGAATCTGAAATATTCCATGTTCAACTTTTTAAACATCTATGTATAAAATTTATAATTATTATTTCAGGTTATATATGCAACAAAATCATAAAAGCAAATTTATACAAAATGTTACGGGTAAGAGAAATGTTATAACTTAAGCTATAAACTTCCTACACATCCATGTATACGTTAAGCAGAGAAGGGGAAAAAAAAACGAAATGGGTAAGAAAATCAGCATGTATTTGACATTTCAAATATATATAACGTCAAAGAACAGCTTGTAAAGTAAATTTTACTGAAAGTATGATGTGTATATATATACCATGTATGCAACATTTGGAAATAAACCAAACTTACTAATTTTCAAAATATAAACACGTTTAACTTATTTTTCATCTTAACGTTTCAAAGTTAGACAATTTCTTCGTCTATGCAAAGTACATGTACCCGATGGCTTAAGAAAAATGATGAAAGTAATCGATTTTATTCATTTATTTTAATTAGAAAAAAATTATTCCCACGAAAGTCCCAAATATTCCCGCTATATATTATTGTACTATCAAAATTGTTAATTTGTCTACAATGATACGGATGTCTGAATTTATGTTTACTGTGTATACACAGACTACAAATCTCAATGAAACTCAATTATCGATCTTCTAATATACCCGACCAGTGCGTAAAATTATATGTGGTGTTACATAGTTAGATACATGACAAACTTTAAATAATACTGTAAATAAATACTAAATATTATTTAATTTGCAAATATTAAATTTTTCATGCTACATGTACGTTGTAAAAGTGTTTAAAAGACATTCCACATTGACTACGTTAACAGGTCAACTTAAATTTCAAATTTCCACCTTGCTACATTAAATAGATAAAGCTATGATGAAATTTAAAATGTTTTTAAAGACATTATTTGAAACGATATCAAATGAAATCATGTTTTTTATACCATTTAATGCTTTTTTTAAAGTATGGTATTTTTTTTTTAAATTTAGGGCCAATGTTCTCGCAACATTTGTAAAATATGTTTATTTACAATGTTTTGGAAACTTTAAAAATGTTTTCGTAACATTTCCAGGGAAGAATCTTACAGATACTATGCCAAAACTTTTTGGAAAAAAAATATTTGAAACCGTTTGGGAAAAGGTAGACAAAATCAAGATCAAAACATTTTGAAAACCTTTATATTTTGTTGAACTATTGTTTGATTCTGAATTATTTCATTTACCAATAAACAAACGATATTTTTTCCATATTTTTAGATTTTTATTTTCTTAAAATAATTTCAAAAGAAACCACACAATCTTTTTAGTTCCCATTACCGGCGGCGTCTTTATACATGTACGTAACACCTCCCTATGTACAGAGTATCAGTTGGGATATGTGTACCTGATCCCAGTTGTTGTTTTAACAATTTACTGACATGTTTTTTAAAAGATATATTCGACGGTAGCTGGAGATCACTTGAATATTTTAAAATATCTATCATCAACCTGAGAAGATTAAATTTTGGAACCCCCCCCCCATCACCACACACACAAGAAAAAATAACTAATAAAAAAATGATAAAAAAATAAAAAGAAATAAAAATGAATATTGTAAAGATTTATTCTTCTTCGTCTGTTATGAAAAAACCCCCATCAAAGTATATCGATCTTTATGACAATTTTTATTATATATATATATATATATATATATATATATATATATATATATATATATACATAAAAACTAAAATTCGGATTTAGCTTGAAATATTACGTACTATGTGTAATTAGAATAATATGCTATGTCACCATAATAAAATAATTTGTTTAGATCCCGAAAAAAATTAACTCAAGGCCCGAATCGTCTTTACCCAAGTCCCGAACCGTCTTGTTGCTAGTCCCGAAACGTCGTATAAGTCAGGTCCCGAAACGTCGTGGTCCCGAAACATCGTGCACCCTTTTTTCATCGGTTTTGAAAGTTCAAACCACGTGCGTCATGGCGGACGTTCCTAACCCTGACGATGATAAAGCACCGGTCAAGGGAAAGAAAAAAGCCCCGAACAAATCATCGTCTTCGGAGAAGACACCGTCTAACTTGCGTTCGTCGTCGAGTTCGTCGACTTCGACTGGCACTTCCACATGTTCTCGTGGTCATGGCGGAGGACATGATAGTTCCGCGCCAAATAACGAGAATGAGATTCTCAACATATTAAAAGCGATTCAAGAGAATCAAAAGAAACAAGACGATCGTATGACAGAGCTAGAAAATCTGTATGATTATGATTACCAAGAATATGAAGATCGTCAAGACGATACCCCGGACGAACCGGGTACTTCCGGTGAAGCGGCTTCGAGGAAGCGCGCATTAAACGAGATTCTGACTGATACGGAAAACAAGTACGTCAATGCCGGTAAGAAACTTAAAGTTAAAGAGACTTGTGATAAACCGATTGATGATGAACTAGCTAATCTCGTGACAGATTGGTTCCGAGAGGGAATCGAGGAAGAACGATATAATGAACTTCTGAAAACGACAAATCGTCCTGAAAACTGTTCAGCATTAGTGACTGTGAAAACTAACCAAATGGTTTGGGATTTTTTGAGCCCAACTACAAAATCTTCCGATAAGAAGATGCAAAATGTTCAGACTTCGTTGATCAAGGGTGCTTGTGCACTCACTAAAATGACTTATTTGCTCGGTAAGTGTGGCAATCCCGAGATTTTAGACCTTTTGGGAAATGCTATGGAATCATTGGCATTGCTGGGGCATGCCAACAGACAGTTGTGTATGTTGCGTAGAGAATTTATGAAACCTGATATGAAGGGTGAATATACTCACCTTTGTAGTCATAATTTAAAGTATACAGACTATTTGTTTGGTGACGATGTCCCTAAAACTGTAAAAGACATCACAGATTGTTCCAAAATCAGCAACAAAATTGGTATCGGATATAGAGGGAGCTTCCGTGGTCGCTTTATGAGGGGACGATCACGTGGACGCTTTGTCCGAGGAGCTGCAAGGGGTCGTGGATCCTACTCGAATGCTGCATCCTTCTCATCTGATTCAAAAAACTACCAACGAAGAGGCTTGCAGAGTCGCCTCCAGAAGTAGTTGAAAAGGTATGTGAATTTAGAGCAGGTGTACTAAAAAATTTCATTTCTGAATGGAAAGAGTTAACATCAGATAAAAGTATATTAGATATTGTGAAAGGTTGTCATTTGGAATTTAAAGATGATAAAATTCCTGTACAAAATTCAAAACCTTTTGAGCCACGTTTTAGTTCAGCTGAATCATGTGTGATTGACAAAGAAATTGAATCTTTATTAGATATGAATGTAATTGAAGAATTGTCTGAAAATGTAGACCTTAGTGATGGTTTCATTTCCACTGTTTTCACTAGACCTAAAAAGAATGGCAGTTATAGAGTCATTTTGAACCTGAAAGAATTTAACAAAAACATTGTGTATCACCATTTTAAAATGGATACTTTTGAGAGTGCTCTTGATTTAGTGACTCAAGGTTGTTATTTTGCTAGTGTTGACTTTAGCAATGCATACTATAGTGTCAGTGTGGCAGAGGAACATAGAAAGTTTCTTAGATTCATATGGAAAAATAAGATTTATCAGTATACTTGTCTCGCTCAAGGGTTAGCTAGTGCACCTAGACTCTTTACAAAACTACTGAAGCCTGTTTTTGCAACACTTAGAAGATTAGGACATGTCATTATTGGGTATATTGATGACTCGTTACTGATTGGCAATTGTATTAAAGAGTGTTTAGATCATGTTTCTGAAACTTTAGCCCTAGTAGAGAGTCTAGGGTTTGTAGTCAATTATGAGAAGTCTGTTCTCACACCTAGTACAAAAATCATTTTCTTAGGAAATGTTATTGATTCTGAATTGATGATAGTTTCTCTTACTGAAGAAAGAAAGGAATCTATTTTAGAGGCATGTAAAAAATTACAAACAAAATCAAGAGAAAAAATTAGAGAAGTTGCAAAGGTCATTGGATTGGTCGTGGCTAGTTTTTCAGCAGTAGAATTTGGTCAGCTGTTTTATCGTGATATGGAAAGAGCAAAAACTGATGCACTTGTACAATCACAACATGACTATGATGCTTTCATGATCATAACAAAAGAAATGAAATTAGAATTAGATTGGTGGATTTCTAATATTTCTTCATCAGTTAGAAGAGTTTTGCATGAACCCTATGATCTTACAATAACTTCTGATGCTTCTCATCTTGGATGGGGTGCTGTTATGAATGAATTGAAATCAGGGGGTAGATGGACAACAGATGAATCTGAAAATCATATCAATTACTTAGAATTATTAGCCTGCTTTTTGGGGTTAAAGTGCTTTTGTTCTGATGTAACAAATAAAAATGTCAAATTATTTATGGACAATACCACAGCTATTTCCTACATCAATAACATGGGTGGTATTAGTTCTAAAAAATGTGATAAACTTGCAAAAGAAATTTGGCTATGGAGTATGAATAGGGATCTGTGGTTAAGTGCATGGCACATTCCTGGTAAAGATAATTTGATAGCAGATATGATGTCGCGCAAATTTGATGATCAAATAGAATGGATGTTGAGCAAATCTGTGTTCCATAAAATTGTTTTAAGATGGGAACAACCTGAAATTGATTTGTTTGCAACAAGGTTGAATAAGCAGATTCATGTATATTGTTCTTGGCATCCAGATCCAGATGCCCGTTATGTTAATGCATTTAGTTTTTCATGGGCAAACATTTATGGTTATCTTAATCCTCCTTTCAGCCTCATTGGACGTGTGGTGAGGAAGATTTGTCAGGACCAAGCAGAGTGTGTACTGGTGGCTCCAGTGTGGCCAACACAGCCGTGGTTCAATCGTGTGTTAGAAAAACTGGTGGATCATCCGGTGATTTTACCTGTGATGGACAATCTGTTGACACTTCCAGGCACAGATGTGCAGCATCCTCTGAAAGACTCGTTAGTGCTGATGGCATGTCGATTGTCCGGTTGCAGTACCAAAAACGAGGAATTTCTCATCAAGCAGCCTCGATCCTTTTGGCATCATGGAAGTCGGGAACCAAGAAACAATATAAAACATTTTATACGAGATGGTTTCAGTACTGTAGTGAAAAATCGATTGATCCATTTTGTACAACTATAGAAACTGTTATTGAATTTTTAGCACATCTTTTTCGCCTAGGTTTAGGGTATAGTGCTATTAATACTGCCCGAGGGGCTTTATCTTCTGTTGGACTGATTTTTGATGGGTTTACTGTTGGATGTCATCCACTTGTTATACGATTTATGAAGGGTGTTTTTAATTTGAGACCATCAAAATCTCGATATGTACATACTTGGGATGCATCTATTGTTATCAAGTATTTGAGAAAATTGTCACCTGTAAAATACTTAAGTTTGAAAGACTTGACACTGAAGTTAGTTATGTTAATTAGTTTAATTTGTGCAAGTCGAGTACAAACTATTTCATGCATGAAACTTGGTAATATGACGAGAAGAAAAAATAGCTTTGTTTTTACTTTTAGTGATTTATTGAAAACATGTAGACCTAACAGTAGTATGTCTGACATGGTTTTGAAATCATATCCTCCAGATAGGAGGCTTTGTGTATATATTGTTTTATGTGAATACTTATCAAGGACTGCAAGAATTAGAAATAAGTGTGATTCACTTTTTATCAGTTATGTACAACCACACAAGGAAGTATCAAGAGATACTGTTGCCCGTTGGATAAGAACAGTGATGTGTTCTGCAGGTGTTGATACTACTATTTTTAAGGCTCATAGTGTTAGATCTGCATCAGCATCTAAAGCAAAAGAGAACTTTGTTCCTGTCGATGATATTTTGTCCAAAGTAGGTTGGTCTAATGTCGAAACCTTCAGAAAGTTTTATGACAAACCTGTGCTGAATGATGATAAGTATGCAAATGCTGTTCTGAAATTAAAATAAAGAATTTGATTTCAGTTTGAAAAATTTTTTGTGTTGTGCTTTAAAGATTCACATTATCTCGGAAGTGACGTTTACGAAAAATAATTAGGAAATTAAACGAGACTTACCTTGGTAAAAGCGAAGTTTGATTCCAATTATTGGAGTAAATAAAAGGCACTGTAGAGATAAGGTGCCTCCCTCCCACCCTGCAGGTGTTGAATGTATTATTTGAAATTATTAGTGAAATGAATTTGGGTTTGATGTTTTGTTGCAAATCTATCAACCCAAAAAATTTTAGCTTTGAAGCAATGACTTGGCGGCTGCGCAGTACTATTCACCTTATCTCTACAGTGCCTTTTATTTACTCCAATAATTGGAATCAAACTTCGCCTTTACCAAGGTAAGTCTCGTTTAATTTCCTAATTTTCACAAGATTTTTGAAATTCTTGGGCAGTCTATCTGTTAATTTTATTTTATACTTCTGTGGATCCTTTATATTGTTGTATTATACTCAGGTGACCGTTAAGGCCCTTGGGCCTCTTGTTTTGAAACATTTTTCATTCAATTTGTCAAATTTTATTCATTGACCTGCATTTCTTGTCTATTTATATAATTGATTTTCATACACAGATCAAAAAGAAAATCACACTGGTTGTTGATTTTTTGGAGAAAAATATTTTTTCTAATAAAAATAGCGAGAATATTATGAAGTCTTATCATTTTCTTTACATGTCTGAAGAAGATCTCCGTCACTTGACACCGAGATTTCTGCAATTCTATTAATAATTAAGAAACTTGTTGTAAAATATTCAACCAAAATCAGAAAAAAATTTAAGAATCACTCAAAATATATGTGATATCATAACCGTTATTTGGATTTTTGAAATCTACTTAATAAATGGTACAGTAATGAAATATGAATTAAACAGGGTGTAATAAGCCTCCTTAAGTCATACAATCTCTTCATTTCTCTATCTCACTCTCTCTCTCTCTTGACCATGTACATCAAGAGAGGGGGTTCAATCCTATTTATCCACAGTATCTGGATCTCCTAGCTAGATTATATATAAATCAAAGAAAAACACTGTGATATACATAAAACAGAAAACATTTTACAACATTGAAACCATTTAATCTCATTATGAAATGGTGGAAAAGAGATCTCAGGTTTCTGGTAGTGGGCCCTAAGAAATGGAGATTCTGTGGGTGTCATGTTAAAGGGAGACAGCTGACAGAATGAATTACAAGCTGATTTCTAAGAGGTGATGCTTCCACTAGTCCTCAGGTCTTTTTGATCAATATGTCTGTGTTTGGAAATGGCAGTAGGGATCGCAAGCCTTAATGCTATATATATCATTGTGCTTTCTTTGAAAATAGTCAACTATAACCCAGAAATGATGAGTTTGCAAAGTGCATGTACTTGATTAGCTTTACCTGGCAGTATAGTGAAGTGTGTCATAGTGGTATGCTGAGGAAGAATTACACAGTTTCGGTAAGTTTTGTCACATTGTGGATTTCTAAATAATCAAACACCAGTAAATGGCAGTAGGTCACCGTGACACTCTCACTTTTTTCCCCATTTTTCTGGAGTTTACCCCTTAGCAATACTGGTCATCATACATTCATATTGGATATAATAAATAATTCATGATTCATTATATTCACATTGAAGCAGTTTGCCCAGAAGATATACTCTATACCTGGTCAGTGTCACTGACAAGGCCTATGCTCGGCAGTGTCCACTGTTGTTTGTCATTTTATATCACCATTATTAAAGTTGATTGTCATCAGCTCTCCATATACTAGCTGTCTATACAATGAAAGGTGGGAGAATGATTGAATCCAATAAATCTTTTTCTTCTTGTGATCCAGGAGATGGTCTGCATTTTAAAGCTCTTCAAACTTGTCATCATTTGGAATCCTGAGAGTCTTGTTAATTAAATGATAGTGTTTTGATCAGATTAAGAACTTATTGTATTGATATAATACATGCACAAGCATTTCTGATCAGATAATTTTCATACAGCAACATATGCCATTCATCTTACTACCATAAAGACCAACCCAGTGAGTTTTTTTTTATGGCCATTAATGATTACAGTAAAGGAGAGGGGGAATACTTAAACCTTTCAATACACATCTCTCTAGGAATTTGTTTATCAAGGAACATGCTAGTTAAATAAAACACCAAAAAATTAGGTAGGGTTTATTGATAAAGATATAAATGCATAAAACATCATTCTGCATGTATATAAATGTTCACTTTATACTTTATATATAATTACTCTGCAGTTACTTCTTTTACTACATACTCCTTTATCACCTAATTTTTAAGTACATGTAATTGAAAATGCTCACAGAGTAACGTGAATTTACCCATGGTGTTTCTTCAAAGTTCATCATTATAGTTAATTATATTATATAGGGAAAATGATCAAATCTCAAATATATTTTCAGGAAATGCGAATAAGAACACCAGCTATGCATTTTCTAATTGAAAATTGATCAACAAATATATTTTAGGATAAAACAAGATGTGTTTGTGTAACACTGATGCCCCCGTATGGCAACTTATAGCAAAGGTTAAACTTTCTCAAATGCAAATCAAATATGTTGGTTCCCAAAGTAAGGTCTTGTCTCAAGAAATATACCTGTGAAATATGAAAGCCCTAGCAGCAACCATTAAATAGATATGGAAAAGGTTAAAAGTAAGTCAAACATCAAGGTCAAATGGTCAAAATTAATGGTACCCAAGGAAAGGCCTTCTCACAAAAAATACACATGTGAAATATGAAAGCCATAGCACCAATTGTTCAAAAGTTATGGCCAAGGTTAAAGTTTTTCAAAAGTTGGTCATATTCAAGGTCAATGAATTACAATTGTTGATATCCAAAGGAAGGTCTTGTCACAAGTAATAGACATGTTAAATGTGAAAGCCCTAGCACAAACTGATCAAAAGTTATGGCCAAGATTAAAGTTTTCAAAAAGTAGGTCAAACTCCAAGGTCAAGGGCAAAGGGTCAAAGTCGGTATTCAAAGGAAAGGTCTTTTCACAAGGATTACTTTTGTGAAGTTTGAAAACCCTAGCATCAACTGTTCAAATGTTACGGCCAAGGTTAAAGTTTTTCAAAAGTAGGTCAAACTCCTAGGTCAATGTCAAAGGGTCAAAGTTGTTGGTATCCAAAGAAAGGTCTTGTCACAAGGATTACATATATGAAGTATGAAAACCCAAGCACCAATTTTTCAAAAGTTATGACCAAGGTTAAAGCTTTTCAAAAATAGGTCAAACTCCTAGGTCAAAGTCAAAGGGTCAAAATTGTTAGTCTCCAAAGAAAGGTCTTGTCACAAAGATTACATATATGAAGTATGAAAGACCTAGAACCAACTGTTCAAAAGTTATGGCCAAGATTAAAGATTTTCAAAAATAGGTCAAACTCCTAGGTCAAGGTCGAAGGGTCAAAGTTGTTCATATCTCGGGGAAGGTCTTGTCACAAGGATTACATTTATGAAGTATGAAAGTCCTAGCACCAATTGTTCAGAAGTTATGGACAAAGTTAAAGTTGGGTAAATTTTTGCAAAAGTGTGTCAAACTTCAAGGTCAAGAGGTCAAATATGTTGGTACATAAAGGAAGGCCTTGTCACAAAGAATACACATGTGAAATATGAAAGCCAAAGTTCCAACCAATCAAAAGTTGTGGGCAATGTTTAAGTTTTTGCGCACAAACAGATAAAAATACAGACAGACAGACGGATGGACAGGGCAAAAACTATATACCCTGGAATCTTCAATTACAGGGGCAATAAAAATATAGGTATTTAGGCATTTGGAGAAATTTGGATCTTTTTTATGCTTATACAGTGTTTTAGTTCTTCTATTTACTTCAATTATTATATAATACATTGTGAAAAATGTTTGTGCTATCATTGCTAGACATCACAGATCACATCTTATTTCATATCATACTAATAAGCATTGATATCTAATGCCAGATTAAAGGAAATTTGATTTCTAAAAAATGAATTTATTTTTTTTTCTTTTATGTGGTACATGTACAAATGTCAACTTTTTACAAGACTGTTTCTAAGACTTCAAAGAATCTTGAATCATATTGAGATGCATGAAATGAAAATTGTTGCTGGAAAAGATCTCAATTTCAAGCTTTATTTTTGAGACTTTTTAAATAAAATAATAAATTTATGAGCTACCTTTTTTGGCTGAGGATCGGACACCCTTAATGAAATGCATACAAATATATGAGGGTGATTTAAAAAATAACCTTATATATATGGTAGCTCTTAGGAACTGCGCAGGACTTTCTTGACTTCAGGTTTGCATGATTTGGTATTCACTCATACAAGATTCCAGACAGAAATCAAACATTTCCAAGGAAATGGAGACAAGAAGTTTTACTTCAGCATAAGAATTTTTAAGCAGTGTTGCATACATGCAGTGTAATATCGGTGATTTAGAAGCAAATCACTTTGATGCTCTTATACTTAATTTCCACACTCTCCTGATTTACTTATTTCCTGTTCCACATGCAGTATTATAACATTGCCTCAGGTTATTTCCTGAGTCCAATGATGACCTTATAGTGACTATTAGGAAATAATGTGAAAGAATTGAATCCCCTTAATTTTTTAAAAATAGTAATTTATAGGACATTCATACTTGCCAACCTCCAACATGTAAAAATCTGGTCATGACCAGATTTGGAAAGTAAAAAATCTGGTCATACTCGTAACGACATTCACGACATATTTACCATGATTAAATTATATATATATATAAGTATTTGTGTATTGAGAATTCTTTTATTAAAAAAAGGCTTTAACTTACAATGACAAAAAATTAATATATATTGATTAAATTTACAAGTTAAAAAAGAGCATTGAAGGTTTCATTATTCAGTATTGACCTGAATTAAGTGTCCATTATTTTTTAAAAAAGAAAGCCTTTTCAGAATCTGCATTGCTGATTCCAAGCACATGTTTGTGCTAAATTTGAAAGTATTCCAGTTT